AGAAAGTGGTCTCCTCTGCCAATGCGTTCAAGTGTACTTCCCACTTTCTCTTCTATAAGGTTCAGTGTGGCTGGCTTTATGTTGAGGTCTTTGATCCATTTGGACTTGAGTTTTGTGCATGGTGATAGATATGGGTCTATTTTCATTCTTCTACATGTTGATATCCAGTTATGCCTGCACCTCTTGTTAACTATGCTTTCTTTTTTCCATTTGATATTTTTTGCTTCCTTATCAAAAATCAGGTGTTTGAAGGTGTGTGGATTGATATCCGTGTCTTCAATTCAGTTCCATTGGTCCTCCTGTCTGTTCTTATGCCAATACCAGGCTGTTTTCAGTATTGTAGCTCTGTAGTAGAGTTTGAAGTCAGGGATTGTGATGCCTCCAGAAATTGTTGTACAGGATTGTTTCGGCTATCCTGGGATTTTTGCTTTTCCATATGAAGTTGAGTACCATTCTTTCGAGGTCTTTGAAGAATTTTGCTGGGATTTTGTGGATAACTCTTATATCTTAAATTAACCCATTTCTATTAATCTGTATCACCACATTATTATTGCTTACCCATAAGGTTCCACCTGGCATTTGTCTCCTGGAGCAGCTATGTGCTGTCTCTTATTCTGCCTGCTCTCTATATATATCAGATTTCCTGCCTGGCTATATTGTGTCCTGCTATAGGCCCAAAGCAGCTTCTTTATTAATCAGTGGTAATAAAACGTATTCTCAGCATACAGAGGAGAATTCCACGGCACTCCACCCAATTTTTCTTTCTTTCTTATTGTTGTTCTTTGTTTCGTTTTTCCAGTAAAACTTCCTTAAAACAGTTTAAACAAAAGAACAGTGGAGTGACCCTAGAGAATCTAAGTAACAAGGTGAACCCTAAGAAAAACATATATAGATCCATCTGGGAAGGGAAAATAGACAAGATCGCCTGATAAAATTGGGAGCATTGGGGATAGTGGGAGAAGGGAGGGGGAAGAGGAGCAGGGAGGAGAACTTGAGGGAACGGGATAGTCGAGACAGAGGAAGGACAGAGATGGAGAGCAAGGAAAGAGATATTTTGATTGAGGGGGCCTTTTATGGGGCTAGCAAGAAACCTGGCACTAGAGAAATTCCCAGGAATCCATAAGGATGATCTTAGCTAAGACCCTAGGCAGTAGTGGAAAAGGTGTCCTATAGTCAGATTGGTGAATATTTTAAATGTCACCTTAGAACCTTCATCCAGCAATTGATGGAAACAGAGATGGATACCCACAGTGGAGCACTGGGCTGAGCTCTCAAAGTTCAGTTGAAGAGTGGGAGGAGTAAGAATATGAGCAAAGAGGTCAAGACCATGTGCGGGGACACCCACTGAAACAGTTTACCTGAGCTAATGGGAGCTCACCAACTCCTCCCGGACAGGGAAGGAACCAGCATAGGACCAAACTGAACCCTCTGAATGTGGGTAACAGTTGTGTGGCTGGGGCAGACTGCAGGGCCACTAGCAGTGGCACCAAGATTTGTTCCTACTGCTTGTACTGGCTTTTTGGGAACCATTCTCTGGATGGATACCTTGCTCAGCCTAGATAAAGTAGGGAGGCGCCTTGGACCTTCACCAAAGCAATGTGCTAAGGCACTCCTCTCTGAGGAGTGGATGGGGGGTGGAAGGTGGAGGAAATGAGAAGAGGGGAGGAACTTGGAACTGGGATTGGTGTGTAAAATGATAAAAGATAGTTTGTTTTCTTTGAAGAAAAGAATAGTGGAGGAATGTTTAGAGAGTAGTTCAACTTGAATTTTCAAAGCTTACATTAAAATAGATAAAGAATTTATCTGGTTGGATTTTGTTTTCATTTCTTAGCTCAAATTCAGGGCCTTGTACATACTAGGCAAGCACTCTCTCTCTCCCCCTTTTCTTTTTTTCTTTTTGAGGTGGGGTCTCACATGCAGCTCTGGCTGGATGGCCTAGAACTTGCTATATAGGTCGGTCACACTGACCTTAAACTTAGAGGTCTGCCTGTCTCTGCCTTTCTAGGGCTGGTTTAAAGGTGTGTGCCACCACACTCAGCCCCCTCCCTATCTTACTACACATTTGATTTGGCTTTTTTTTTTTTTGTGTGTGTGGTATTTGTTTATCAGCTAGGGGAGGAGGGTACGGACATGTATATGGTCAGAGGATAACTTGATGGAGTTGGTTCTCGCTACCATTTACATTGATTCTGGAGTTCAAACTCAGGTCATAAGGTTTACACAGTAAAGGTGGTGGTACCACTGAGCCAATTAACTGGCCATGATTTTCATAGTTTGTGTCTGTTGTAATTAGGGAACTATGCAGGATGTGAGCCATCTATGAAGAGTTTGAGGAAATGTATCTGTGATGGCAGTAACAAAATAAGTCAGCAACAGAACTTAAGAGTTAAATAAATTCAGATCAATTATCTGAAAACAAAACCTTCTCCGAAACACATTGTGGGTGATGGTGCATGTATCTGTGTACACACATGATATATTTAAGTATTTTTAAGTTATTGTTGTAGACTATAGAGAAGATATTGTTATAGACTATAGAACGTACAATCAGAATGTACAGTGGCAAAACATTCTTAATTACTGAGAATATAATGAAGGAACAGTTTATTATAGAGGAAGGTGGTTAATAGATTTTTGACAGATACCAATATAGAATAAGATAAGACTTTTCTTCAGAATAATTCTGTTTCTCTCTTAAGGTATCCAAGCCCACCAATGGGTTCTGTCTCAGCACCCAACTTGTCTGCAGCAGAAGAAAATGTGGAATATGTACGGACTCTCTATGACTTTCCTGGGAATGATGCTGAAGACCTCCCCTTTAAAAAGGGTGAGATTCTAGTGATAATAGAAAAGCCTGAAGAACAATGGTGGAGTGCCCGGAACAAGGATGGCCGGGTTGGGATGATTCCTGTTCCTTATGTTGAAAAGCTTGTGAGGTCTTCGCCACATGGAAAGCATGGAAATAGGAATTCTAACAGTTACGGCATCCCAGAACCTGCTCATGCGTATGCTCAACCTCAGACCACAACTCCTCTACCTACAGTTGCCAGTACTTCTGGGGCAGCAGTCAACCCTTTGCCATCCACACAGAATGGACCTGTCTTTGCAAAAGCAATCCAGAAGAGAGTACCCTGTGCTTATGACAAGACTGCCTTGGCATTGGAGGTAAAAATCTATCAAGGCTGGCCCTTGAACATGGGTTTTCATTTTTAATTTTAAGTTAGTCATCCCTTTAAAGTCACTTACTTTCTTGAGAATTGGACTGGGATTTCCCAGCTTACACTATTAATGTCTTGTCCTTTCCTAGTCATCATGACAGCCCAGGTCCCCAGCCTGCCTGCTCTCTTTTCTGCTTCCAAAGCTCATAGGTAGTTGGTTTTCTTTCCAGCAAAGGAAATAATTAGAAAGACCCATTACCTATGAGCTAAATTAGCGTTCAGAGAGACAGTACTAGTTGTATAAATCCATATCTCCAACATTGTAATTAAGGATCAATACAAATAAAATGTCTTAAAATTTAACTAGGCAGAGAAACGAGTTTAAAAATCTGTAACAAGCCGGGCGGTGGTGGCGCACGCCTTTAATCCCAGCACTCGGGAGGCAGAGGCAGGCGGATCTCTGTGAGTTCGAGACCAGCCTGGTCTACAAGNCATGAACATTTCTCCTCCTCCTCTTCAGTTTCATTGCCCAGCAGAAGCCACCTCTTTATCAGCTATGGTAGGACAAGCCTGTAATCCCAGCACTCGGGAGGTGTAGTCAGGCGGATAAGGAATTCAAGTTCATCTCCAGCTAGATAGTGATGTGGAGGCCACTCTGAGCTACATGGCACCCCGTCTCCAAAAGAAGAAGAAAAAAGATAACAAGTTGGAGATGTCAGGTAGGCGCTAGAGTATGTGAGTCTGTAGTTTGGAGGAGATGGTAGGGCCATCTTCTGTTGAGAGCCTGCAAAAGAGAGGGTATCCAAGAACACAGATTGGGTGAGAGAGACAGAGAGCATGGGCACATTGACGGAGTTTGAGAGGGGAGAGGGTATAAGGTCTGGGCCATGTCACTCGAGAGGAGGTTAAAATAAGGAAGTCACAGAGGAGCCAAGGAATGACCAGGGGTGGAGGGCTTGCCAGTCTAAGGTGGTCTAAGAAAGTCTACAGACGCAGAACGAGGATCTAGACCAGACTGGTTTTAGTACACTGCTGAGGGACAGCCTCCCGATGGAGTCAGGAAGTGGGGAGAAGGAAGCTGAAGGAACGCAGTGGCTCCAGGGCTCTGTAGTGAGAGGTGGTCATTGTCGAGAGGGCATTGTGAACCACCTTGCTTGATCACAGCCGGTGGGAATGCAGGAGGGCTGGAGTGATAGCACTGTGGAGGAGAAGCTCAGCTGGACTGCCCTTGAGTCCAGGATGAATGTGTTTGCTTATAAGGCAAGTGCAGGTGCAAGCAGAAGCCAGCAGACACCTTGAGGTTTTGTCTGTCTTTTGAAACAGTCTCTGGTTGGCCTGAAGCTTACCGAGGAGGCTGGATGTCTGTCACAGCCTCTGCATCCTAGTCCCAGGTGATAAGATCGTACACACCCACACCCACAAGCGCTCCATGCCTGGGTTCATGCCCAGGGCCTCAAGATTATTGGCTGAACTGTTTGCCCGGCACTTACAAGCAGTTTTTTGTTTTGTTTATTTTATTATTATTATTTGGTTTGTTTTATTTTTTTTTTAAATATTTATTTATTATGTATACAATATTCTGTCTGTGTGTATGCCTGCAGGCCAGAAGAGTGCACCAGACCCCATTACAAATGGCTGTGAGCCACCATGTGGTTGCTGGGAATTGAACTCAGGACCTTTGGAAGAGCAGCCAGTCCTTTTAACCTCTGAGCCATCTCTCCAGCCCTGTATCTCTTCTTTTGACTAGAAAAAAAGAGTGGTTGCCTTGTGGTTGCAGCTTACATCAGGGACCAGGATTGAGGAGAGATCCAGTTATGTTTAGAACAGGAAAGAAACCAGAATAAGGGCCAGGCAAGGTGGCACTTGCCTGTAATTTCAGCACTCAAGAGGCCGAGGCAGGAGGAGTGAGGATTTGAAGTCTAATTGACTGATGAGACTTCTACCACCATCAAACAAGTGTGTCTCACTCTCCCTTTTTCCTCCCTCTCCCTTTCTCTCTTTCTCTTTTCTGTCTAACACACACACACACCCCTCTTAGAGATGGGATCTCATTATGTAGTCTGGCTGTCCTGGAACTTGCTACATAGACCAGGCCTTTGCTGCCCAAGGCATTTGCTATCACACCTGGCCCTTTTATCATCATCATCTTTATTATTATTTTGTATGTATGGTGTTTTGCCCATATGTCTCCTTTACATATGTCTGTGCACCGTGTACATGCAGTGCTCTTGGAAACCAAATGGAAGTGTTGGATCCCCTGGAAATAGAGTTATAGGTGATTGTGAACTACCACATAGGGGTAAGAATTAAATTCGGGTCCTCTAGAAGAACAGCCAGTGCTCTTAACTGCTGAGGCATCTCTCCATCCTCTATACACCCCTCTTGACTGGTCCACATCTCACCCATAGATCTTTGTAATCCCAGTACTAGAGAGATAGATGCAGGAATAGGAGCCAGGCTAGATAATAGGAGACCCTGACTCAGAGAATCAAAACAAATGAAGTACCATCTTGTTTGCCTTATTGCTTCAGCCTTTTGAGATAGTTGTCATCTCAGAATAGAACTCAGAATACAGAAAGTGCTTTCACCCTTTCAGGCACTGGTTCATTCAACTCTGATTCTGTTTTGTTTTGTTTTCTAGACATGATTTCACTATGCATCCAGGCTAGCCTTCAACTCTGTTGACTGTCCTTCTGCCTCAGCATCCTTGAATGCTAAGATTATGAGAATACACTAAGTATGCCTAGCTTGATCTTTGATTCTAAGAGAAAGTTTTAGATGGTATCTGCTGTATGGATGCATTCCTTGGTATGTTCAGAGTAGGGCTGGAAGGTGGTGTTACAGAGGGATGGCCTGGAGCTTTTTAAGAGAGCCAGACTAATGATGTATATTTTAAGATAACAAACATAGTTGGTGGTTACACAGCTCCCCTACCCTCTCAAACTCCAGTTCTCCTGATGCTGACCCAGCTGTCACCAAACCATCATCACAGGCTTTATTTGGTGATTCACTGCAAGACTCTATTAGTGGAACCTAAAAGACCTTTACTGCTCCAGTGAGGGTGTTTCTAATCAAGCTGTTGGCTATAGCATAAGAAATAAATGTTCCTTTGCTTGTGCTGTCTTCTAAAACTATTTGGATAGTAATGCCTGTCTGATCTTGTTAAAGAAAACAGTTCTCTCTTGGGACTGCTCCAACTAGGTTATTAGTGAAAGTATTAAAATTAAGTTGAGGGAGGAACATTGACAAAAGTAGGGCAAAATGTACCAGTAACTGGGACTTCTTTATCCCCTTGGGCAGCAAGGGAAGAATGATAGCGCTGGTGAGCAGTAACCCTAATTATTTCACAAAGTTCTGTTCTTTTGTTTTTCCTTGTAAACATATTTGAGGGTGGGAATGTAGATCAACCCTCAGTTTGATTTCCAGCATTACAAAGTTTAAATAAGTCGACTTTCAAAAAAATTCCCTGCAATAGAGACAGTTTAAAAAGTGTTAGCTATTTTCCTCTTGCTTCTCATGAAGTGACATGTATAAGAGAAGTGTAAATGTGTGTCCTCACTCCTTGGCAGCTGAGCTAACCAGGTCTGTTGGTGCAGGCCTGCAATTCCAGCTACTTGAGGGGCTGAAGCAGGACGATAAAAAGGTTAAGACCATCCTGGGCAACTCAGACCTTGTCCCAAAAAGTTTAAAAAAAAAAAAGTTGGGATGTCATTGAGTGGTAGTTTCAATCTCCAGTATGAAGGAAAGAGAGAGGAAAGGAAAAAAGACAGTAGAGCTCTCCGTTGACCTCCGTGGAGCCACAGAGGGCTGTTATGAAAGCCCATCCTACACCGCAGGAAAGTTCCCAGACTGAGGGACTCAATCTAGCCTGCCCTTTTCAAAAGATCTTGTGTGTAGTACACCTGAAGGCCAGAAGAGGGTGTCAGAGTCAGATCCCATGGCGCTGGAGTTTGAGGCAGTTGTGAGCTGCCTGACATGATTAAGCTTCTGCTGAGCCGCCTAAAGGATCTCTCTCTAATCAGAAGACAATAGTTGGAGCAAGAGTGCTGTTGTTACAGAGTATTTGGAGTCAGAGCTACTAGTCTGAGAAGCAAGGTAGGGAAGTAGTGTGGGCCTGTTTTACATCCTGGCTTTTATGGATATAGTTTTGGGCAAATTTCATAAGTTCTCTAAGAAACCTGGCTGGAAGTATTGATATTTGTCCATTAACTGTCCATTCATATAACTAACTAAAGTGGTGACATCCAAGGAGCTGGCCACTGTGAAGAAAGGGAGACTGGGGGAGCCGGGAGAGGCAGGTGGTCTGAAAAAGCTTCGTGGAGAACGTAACTCTGGGATTGAATTTTGAAGGATGACTACAGCTAGCTGGTGAACCAGGGAAGGCGGGGGAAAGAGTCTGCAGGAAGGGCCTTGAAACACTACTAGTAATCGTCAGTAAATGCACATAGAGCGCAGGTTGGGTAAAGGGCCAGTGTGGCCAAAGACAGCAGGGGAGCAGGTTTTCACATATTACAAGAGAGCTAATAAGATTTACATTTTTCTTGGCATTGCTTTTATTTGAAGTATGAAACAACCAGTTTCTCAGTGTTCTACAAAAGTCAGTCAGGAGGATCCAATCTGTAGATGAGAGTATCAATGTCAAGCTTCAAGTAATACCCAAAGTGATTTAGAGCAGACTTGGTCAAAGTCAAGCAGAAATGAAGTTTTGATGATTGCTTAATGCTTAGCCCAGGTTTTCTGACTTTCTACATTGTCCAGCTCCACTGACCTTCAGTCTTGATTTGGATGATGCTACATAACATGTTTGCTTCTACAGCAGATTGACTCTTAGGATGGTGACAGACAGGAACTTGAGATACTATAGTGAACAAAACCAAAGGCTTCTCTCCTTGTAGAACTCATGGAACAGCTTTATAGGGTGAATTAGTTCTGGGCTGCTATTTTTGTTAGTTAACATGTTCTTGCATTCTGACTATCAGGAACCATTCCTATTGGGAATATTATCTGTCCCCTTCCTGTGCTTATGTAGCTTTATGCTTTGTTTTCTTTTGTTTTGGAGACGGGTCCTTCTCGTGTTGCCCAGTCTGGTCTTGAAATTCTGGGTTTGGACTGGAGAGATGGCTCTGTGGTTAAGACCTTCCAGAGGACTCAGGTTCAATTACCAGCAGCCCCACGGTAGCTCACAGCTGTCTGTAACTCTAGTTCCAAGAGATCTGACTCCCTCACATAGACAAACATGCAAACAAAACACCAATGCATATAAAATAAGAAAAAAAAGAAGAAGAAAATACTGTCTTAACCTCCCAAGTCGCTAGGAGGTGCACACCACACCCAGCTCCAGGGACTGGAGACGAGTAAGGCCCTACATCCTCCACCTTAATTGCTGGTCCTGTTTTTGGCTGAGAAAGATTGGTATGTTTTGTTTTGCTAATGTAGGACCTCTATGACCTTGAACTTCTGATCCTCCTGTTTCCACTTCCCAAGTGCTGGGGTTACAGTCGTGGACTTTTTTGTTTGTTTGTTTGTTTTTTGTTTTTTGTCTTAGTTGGGGTTTCTGTTGCTAAGATGTAACACTATGATGAAAAGCAATGTGGGTGGCTGGTTGTTTCAATTATATGTCACTGTTGTCACTGTTGATGTGTTAGCAGTCAGGGCAGGAACTCAAGGGAGGAACCTGGAGGTACAAGAGCTGATTCAGAGTGCTGCTTACCTGCTTGCTCCACATAGCTTGTTTAGCCTGCTTTTACAAAATCCAGGACCACTAGCCCAGGCCTAATAGCAACACCACAATGGACTGGTCCTTCCCATATCAATCACTAATTAAGAAAATGCCAATCCCAGCACTAGGGAGGCAGAGGCGAGGTGGATCTCTGTGAGTTCCAGACCAGCCTGGGCTACAAGAGCTAGTTCCAGGACAGGCTCCAAAGCTACAGAGAAACCCTGTCTTGAAAAGCAAAACAAAAAAAGAGTATATTTCTTAGGGGTTGGAGAGATGACTCAGTGGTTAAGAGCTCTGGCTGCTCTTCCAAAGGTCCTGAGTCCAATTCCCAGAAACCACATGGTGACTCGCAACCATCTGTACGGAGATCTGGCGCCCTCTTCTGGCGTTCAGGCATACATGGAGGCAGATTGTTGTTACACATAACAAACAAACAAATAAATAAATTAAATAAATAAATAAATAAATCTTTTTTAGAAAAAAAAAGAAAATGCCCTACAGGCTGGCCCATAGTCCAATATTTTGGAGACTTTTTTAAATTGAGGCTCCTTTTTCTCTGATAGCTTTAGTTTTTGTCAAGTCAATGTAAAAACTAGCCAGCACTAGTTTTTACTAGTTTGTACTAGGTATGTGTGTGTGGTACTAGGAACCAAAGCCCGGGTGTTGTGCATGTTAAGCAAACATCTGCACCGTCCCCTCACCCAAGAGATTTCAGAAAGAAACATTTAGATCTTTTTATTAAAGACTTCTGCGTGACTTCTCCCCTGGTGTCTTTTGTTTGCTAATCTTTTCCGTCATTTTGTTTAGGTTTGGTTTCACGCTCGCTCACCTATAGAATTTACCATCTCCCTATTTGACGCAAACCAAATGACTTGACCTTACTTTAGTAGACCATTGTCTTCTGGTGTCACAAAGAGTGTTCTCTGACAGAACAGTCTTGGACTCTTACTCTGTTTGCCAAGTGCTTGGCCAGTACTTAAGTCATCAGTCTGTTCTTACTAGCTCACGATTACCTTTTATCTTTGATGCCTGCTCTTTTTAAAATTTTTACTTGTTTATGTATATTTGTGCCTTTAAGTATGCGTGTGCACCACATGTGTCCCTGGTACCTGAGGATGCCAGAAGGTGTCAGATCTGGAACTGGAGTTACAGATAGTTGTGAACTGCCAAGCGAATGCTGAGAATTGAACCTGGGTCCTCTGGAACAGCAGCCAGACTGATCCATGTCTCCAGCTCACATTTTTTTTTTATTACTATTTATTTTTGAGACAGGATCTCATGTAGCTCAGCTGGCCTTGAATTCACTGTATAACCCTGGTGTTAACCTTGATCCTTCTGCCTCTACCTACCACATGATGGGATTACAGGCATCCACTGACATTCCAGGTTTATCAGGGTCTTTTTATGATGCTCAGTGATCTTTGAGCTCACTAGTATCCTTAAGACAAAGTAAAAAATGCTCCTTATTCCCACTGGAGGTCATAAATGATTATATTGGAATTTCTTCTTGAATTCCCTTTGCTACCACCCCCTTAAAGATTTGATTATTTATTTGATTGTATTTGTATATGCTTGAGTGTGTGTTTTTGAACCATAAGTGTGCAGGTGTCTTCAGAAGCTGGAAGAGAGTGTCAGGTCCCCTAGAGGCGGAGTTCCAGGCAGTTGTGAGCTGCCCCATGAACTGAACTCACATGCTCTTCAGAGCATGGTTGCTGAGCCATTTCTGCAACCCCTCTCTTTGGTTTACTTTGAACCCCTACTATTTGGGTTCTATCTCTTCTCTGAGTCTTTTGAATTAGCTTTCTCAAAACCTATTGTGCAAGTTCCCTTCAATGCCTGGCTGGGATTCTCAGATTTCTATTTTGTTAGTTGGTTTTCTTTCATTGGTTAGAATTAAATTCACATTAACAGTGTCCTAGCTTTGTTTTGTTTGTTTTAGACAGGATATCGTTACCTATCTAGGAAACCCTGAATTCACTACACATGTTTTTGTGTGCTCTCCCTTACCTTTGAGAGCGTTTCTCTGCTTCACAGCACTGTGTGTAGCACATCGTGTGGAGCTTACAACAGTTTCTTTAATGTTTTGCTTGCTGAGATGAAGCAGTATGCCAAGCGTAATGAAGTTTCAGTGTCTTAGAATAATCTCAGTGTCCCACAAAGAAACACACACAAAGCAGAAGCAGTTCAGCAAGGCAATTCTTTTTGAGTATAGTGTGGGCTAGAATCCAACCCAGGCTAGCAAGCAGCTAGGGCAGGACGTTCACTTGAGTCATGTGTCTGGGGGCTGGGGGTGGGGGTTGTTCACATTTGCATCTGTGCCCCCCCCTTTTGTTTTTTGTTTCTCTGTAACAGCCCTGGCTGTCCTGGAACTTACTTTGTAGACCAGGCTGGCCTTGATTTCACAGAGATCCCTCTGCCTCCCGAGTGCTGGGATTAAAGGCATGTGCCACCACTGCCCAGTTAGGATGTGAGGGCAATCTAGCTGTGACATCTGTCACCCCATTGATCACCAGGATTGATCTGGCTAGCTAGGCAGGTGTCCCCTTCCTCCTTCACTGCTCCATGTGGGTTTGGTTGACCTCCACTGAATAAAGGAGGACCTTTTTTAGGTAATGGGTATATGAGTAGCTGCGTTCCCCTGCTAGAACCTCCAAACAAGCATTCACTTGGGTTTTTTTGTTTTGGTTTGGTTTTTTGGTTTTTTTTCGAGACAGGGTTTCTCTGTAGCTTTGGTGCCTGTCCCAGAACTAGCTCTTGTAGACCAGGCTGGCCTCGAACTCCCAGAGATCTGCCTGCCTCTGCCTCCCGAGTGCTGGGATTAAAGGCATGCGCCACCACCGCCTGGCTTACTTGGTTTTTATGTTAACTCATATGGTAACTGTTTTTTCCCCATTGACTGGGGTCTGTCACAGTCCTTTGCCATTGGCTAGTTTAAAAAGAACCAGCAGAGAGGAGAGGGGGAGGAGTCAGCTACTACTGGTCAAGTTCTGCGAGGAGGGAAAGGTCGAGATTAAAAGAAGTGCATATGAATTTTGCAAGGTGGGTGAAGACTATTGGCCCTTGGTGGCAAACTATCTGATGAAAGAAAACCATTTCTCACAGTAGCACAGGTTATATTTTTCAGTCTCAGAGATCATCATGAATTCCAGTGGTGAGTGACCTGTAGTTTATATCCATGTTGTATTGGTCCTCCATCATGTTTGTCATCGAAGCACTTGACTCAGCCCTGGAGGTCCACACGAGGTCACAGCTTCCTAGTAACAAGGCTGCTCTCCCTTATCCCTGTCACATTCCACTACAGGAAGCTTTTCCCCTAAGACAATACCCATAGGCTAGTGTCACCTTCTGAAGAGCCTCAGATGTGTGGGTGCTGTGGTGGTGTGTGAATGTCCAGGGCCAGAGGATTGACCAGACTCTTAACTTGTTTTTGAAGTAGGTCTTGCTGTGTTGCCCAGACTCGTTTTGAGCCCTAGTATAATAGCTATCAGGTGCCTGTCTTCTGTCGTGAATATTATATCAGTTCTTGCAACTCTTTTTTTTTAGAAATTTTGCCAGGTGGTGGTGATGCATGCCTTTAAGCCCAGCACTTGGGAGACAAAGGCAGGTGGATCTCTGTGAGCTCAAGGCCAGCCTGGTCTACAGAGTAAGTTCTAGGACAGCCAGGACTGTTTCTTCACTGCCAAAGATGCTTTTTTGCCATAATCACAACACCATGTCAAAAGCAGAATGTTCCCTGGATATTGGTACATACCTGTAGTCACTATCTACTAGAGGCTGAAGCAAGAGGATTAAAGGTTCAAGGCTAGCCTGGGTTACATGGTAAATTCCAGGTCACTCTGGGCTACATAAATATTGTGATACCTGGCTGCCAAAAGAATAAATATGTCTGTCAATACAGGCTTTCATCCTGGAGCCCAGAATGGTCTTAAGATAAGCAGTCTGCCTGCATTAGCCTCTCAGATGCTAGAATTTTAGGGGTGGATCATCATGCCATAACTCCTAGAAGATGTCATTATGAAATCCTTCGGATGCTAAAGCCAGGGAATAGTGCAGGGGGAAAGTGCTTATCTCCTCTATTACACGCACGATGTGTGTGCCTAAGAACAGCTTCTGCCAAGGGACCCATCTGTCAGGCAAGTGCCGTTACCTGCTGAGCCATCTTGCTACCCCAGGTTCTCAGCCCTGATTAGTTTGGAATTCACAGATATCTGCCTCCTCTGTTTCTCACATTTTTGATAATTTTTTTTCCATTAGCAAATCATTGTCATTGGTTTATAGATCAGAATGAACTGTTTTTCAGAGACTTTTGTTTGCCTGGGGAGAAGCACTTGCCACACTAGCTTAAGGACTTGGGTTTGTTCTTCAGAGCCCATGTGAACAGCCAGGAATGGTGCACACATTTGTAACCACAGTGCTAGAGAGAAGGAAATACTTAACTACCTGGAGTTCACTTACCAGCTAGCCTAACTAATTGGTAACCCTAGGTCCCAGTGAGAAATCCCCAAAATCAGAGTAGATGGCTTCTGAAGAATGACACCCAAGATTGGCCTTGGGCCTCCATACATATATATGTGTAACACACATGCACATAGACATATATGCCAAAAGGAGGAGGTGTTTTTCTTAGTGTGTAAATAGGGCGAGAAGACTCTGAAATTAATTTGGTAACTTTCAGTCTTACAGGTAGTATATAGCAGAGCCCTGACACTTTTTTCTTTAAGGGCAGTCTCACATTCACTCAGCTTAGGCTGACATCAGCCTTGGCTGTCCTACTGCCGTGCCTCCTGTGTGCTGGGGTGGCGCATGTAGACCACCACACCTAGCTTTATTGTGCTATGTGTGTATGTGTGTGCATGAGAGGTAGGCACATATATGCACGTGCGGCAGTCGGGACAACTTTGCTGTAGAGTCAGTTCTCCCCTCCCACCTTTTCTTGGCTTCTGAAGATGGAATTCAGGTCCCCAGGCTTGCACAGCCAGTACCTAACCCTCCAAGCCATCTTACTCATGGCTCCGATATTTTTCTTGAGCATATTTTCATTTACATGCTGACTATTTGTATTTTCTGTGGAGTAATATCTATTCAAATCTTTGTGGTTAAGAGTGCATAGTGCTTTTGTAGAGGACTCCATGTCAGGTGCTTGTCTGGTCTAGGGGGATCTGACACCCCTGGGCTCCTTAGACACCCATAGTCACAGACATACCCACACACACATACACAATTAAAACAATCAAAATAAATATTAATAACAGTAAAGAGTAATGTGTCTGTAGCTCTGTGGTAGAGTATTTGCTTGGCATGGCACAAGGCACCATTTCTAGTCACAGGAAGGACTAGATCAGGTGCTGCTCCCAGACTCTCTTTCTAGCCTTTTCTGACCGTCTCCATAGGTCCATCTTCCTCAGCAACAGCAGGGTTTATTTTCATTCTGTGTTATTGACTCGGTACTTAATGTATGTAATTGTGTATAACTGTTGTTATATCCAACATAGCCAGCAAGCGTTGACTACGATGGGACTGCTGAATGTTGACTGTCTAACCACAACAAAGATAGGGAAGTTGCTTAAGAATAAGGAACTGCCTTAAACTGATCATAGAGTCCTGACAGAAAGGGAATGTTTTTCAGTGTCTTGCATACACTATTCTTGTTTTCTTGTTATCTTTAACCTACTATACCCATTAGAATAATTTATTAGACACTGTTTTCAGGTCTTCCTCATCCATCACTCTGTTTGCTTTTATGGATTTTTTTTTAAAGAGTTATTTGGTTAGTTGGTTTTGACTTGAGACAGGACTTGAAAAAACCAACAGTGCTGGCTTTGAACTCCCTTTGTAGCCAAGACTAACCTTGATTTCCTGATCTTCATTTCTTCACCTTCCAAGTGCTGGTTTATAGACCCACACACCACACAACATGTAACTCTGTGTGTAATTTTTTTCTTTCTTTCTTTTTCCTTTTTTTACACCTGCCATTCTGAAATGCCATTTTTCTTGTGTATGGTCTCCTCCCCTGTTCTTTTTGGTACGGAGACTCAAACACTGTGACTTAGGTATGCTAGGCAAGTGTTGTACCAGCAAACTGTATACTCCTGCCTCTGGCTCCCTTTTGCCACTTTTAATAGGACTCCTGTTACTCACAAAGTTGGAAAATACTAGTTAAGGGCCAGCCACGAGGCTCAGTGAGTAAAGGTGCTTGCTGCCCAGCCTGGGGACCTGAGTTGTCCCTAGGACCCTCTTGGTGGAAAGAGCTGACTCTTGAAAGCTGCTCTTTACACAATAAGCCCTCCACGCACTGATACGTGCACACAATACACACAAATAGATACATGTAACAAACATTTTTTAAAATCTATGGTTATGATTGTTTTGCCTGCATGTAAATCTATGCACTACTTGGATGTCTGATGTCAAAAGTAGGCATTGTATCCCCTTGGAAGTAAAGTTACAGACAGTTGTGAGCTGCTGTGTGGGTCCTGGGGATTGAACCTGGGTCCTCTGGAAAAGCAGCAAGTTTTTATTTTGAGACCCTGTCTTTATAGAAAATTATAATGGGCAGAAGAAATTGGGAATGGCATGAACAACATGAAGTCTTGTACACATGCAGTCTTGTAAGTGGTGATAGATCTTTTTTCTTTTAAACCAAAAAAGATCAAAAGTAGATTGTCAGAACAGTGAAGGTTAGTGTGTCAGTGGTAGCACACCTTTGAAGTACACTGTCAAAGCAATACGGTTTCAGTTTTTTGAGACAATATCTGTGCATCCAGGCCTGGCTACTTCCTACCTTCCTATGCAACTTAACATATCCATGTATGTTTATTTATTAGTGACCACATAAATGCGTGACCATTTATTAATGGTGGTTGCTTTGTGCTCAGAAGCTGCTTTACGAATGCTTGCCACCTGAGAGGTGTCCTGGGTATGCTGAGGGTATCTTGTGTCTCTGTAGTACTTGATTTTCAGGTCCACACTCTGAAGAGAAAATTTAGTGTTAGTCTTTGGATAGATAGCATTTGTGATATAATGTAAACTGTCTTTCTTGTTTGCACAGTGATGCTAATTTTGTCTTTTCTATTCCTCCAGGTTGGTGACATTGTGAAAGTCACAAGGATGAATATAAATGGCCAATGGGAAGGCGAGGTGAATGGGCGCAAAGGGCTTTTCCCTTTCACACATGTTAAAATCTTTGACCCTCAAAACCCAGATGACAACGAGTGATTGCTGTTGCCGTCCCTGCTGCTGCCTTGTCCTGCCTGTCATAATCTCCTTTGAAGTGGGAAGCACTCTCCCATGCAAGTCACAGCGAGCTGCTGGGCCACTCCCACACATTGGTGGTCTCCTGCACATTTGGAATGCCTCCAGCGGCTGCCTCTTGGCATTTGTATCATAGTCATGCTGTCAAAGAGTAGCTGATTTTAGAGTTCTTCTGGATTATAAACTGGAAATACTGGCGGAAGCACACAAGTCGAGAGAATTGAACACAGAAAGGGTCTTCCTTCTCATCGCTGCCTTGTTTATACTTGAGGCTGACTGTTGTGCTCGCCATATAAAGTGTGAGCCTGCTGATGGTCCACTCAGAGGGTTAGCCTCGGCAAGCTCTTGCTGTTGCTGGGCTGTAGAGCAGTGGCTGTGCCATCAACTTGTTTTTCTTTGAACAACAGAGGAAGTAAACTCCAGACAGTTTTGTCCAAACTCCTGAAATTTGGCTTGTTTCCACTTTCTTTTGTTTAGCTTTGGTTTTGGAAGACTAATTCATTAGAGTTGTGTGTGTTCTGAACAGATTTTTAAATAGTAGGTTGGATTTTTGTGATAGTCTAAGGAACAGTGCGTGTCCCTGAGCTTCCAAACTGAAGCTGCTGTATGTAACTAAAGGAAAATGAAGACACCCTGAAGTAGAGGCCTTTATCTTTTGTTACCTTGTGTACTGCTTGGCAAACAAAGCACACACAGCAGCAGCCTGGTGTGCCGTGCTGTGTGCAGCCGGGAAGCACCAGGGTGAGCCACTGGTGATCTGTGGACTGTTGCTGTCACGGTTGCCATTGATAGGAGCAGAAAGAGTGGAGCGCTTGGTCAGTTCTGTCTAGCTTTTCAATGAGCACCCCTTTAGGAACTAAAATTAAGTTTATAGAATTATTGCATTCAGCACAAAGTCCTGTCAGCCCCTCCTGTCCAGGCTGCATGAAAGTGGTGGTGCTGTGTGTCCTGGTTCCATAGCCTACGTGGAATACAGCACAGTGCTCCTGAGCAAAGAAAATGCAGGCTCTGGAACCCCTAACCCATATACCATGAGCCAACATGCAAGCCAGCTGATACAAATGTGTGTCTGACCCCTCATCCACACAAAGTATGCTTTGTTTCAGCTGGACCCTGATGAGAACACACAACACCACAGCAGTCTCAGAAATGTAGCGGTGACTTAGTGAATAGTTCCAGCATTTACAGAACAGCTAGCTGTAACTGTGACCCTGGCTCTGAGACTCTTAGGCTGTGACAACCAAGGGAACATATCCTGGAGGCAAAACTAACACAGCCATTTGTCCGCTATATTTATTCTCTTAAAGACTTTTTTTTGTTTAATGTTGTGTATATTGGCATGGTAGCACACACCTTTCTTTAATTCCAGCACTAGGAAAGGCTGAGGTAAGCATGTCTCAGAGTTCAAAGGCCAGCCTGCCTGATCATGTAATTGTAATCTATCTAGGTTGTAATCTGGACAACCAGATGGACATAGACTGTTTCAGAGCCCCCCACCCCCTAAAAAAGTGTATGGGCGTTTTGCCTGCATGTATGAATGTGCATCCCATAGGTGCAGTGCCTAAGGAGGCCAGAAGAGAGTGTTGGATCCTCTGGAACTGGAGTCACTGTGTGGGTGCTAAGAATTGAACCTGGGTCCTCTGTAAGAGCAGTAAATCTCTTTAAATCAGTATCCCATCAGGCTGATAAGTGCCATATTTTAGTGTTCATGTGACAAAATGGTTATTTGGGGTTTGGGGGTAGTATCATGTCTACCTATCTGTGGCTTTCCTAGATGTCAGCTCTTTTCCATCTCTGGAAGCTGCCTTTTTTTTTTTTTTTTTTTTAGCCAGATCTATTGAGTGAGCCCCAAACTGCCTAGAACAATACTTGCCCTCTGGCTAGTGGCCAGCCCGAGGCCTTTTGATACCTGCACTGAGTACATGCCTGTTCACAGAAGACACAGCCTCCAAGGAATCGCACCCCATCACTGGGGCTTGAGCCTCATGCCTTACACATGCTAGGTAAGCCCTCTACCACTGAACTCTTCTTTAAATTTTGAGATGGGATTTCCATAAGTTGCCTATGCTGGCTTTGAATTTTACATCCCAGCCCCAGCTGAAATTACAAACGTTTGAGGCACCACACCCAGCTCTTAAGGTCTTTTCAAACTACATTTAACTGAAGGGCTTGAGTGTCTTGATTATAGCAGCCTGCTCAGTGCAGGCAGCCGCTTTTGAGAATAGGATTTCCCTTCTCAAGTCTGTTGATGAACAAGACTCCATGTAGATTCAGGATCAAAATGCCCCATAAACCTGGAGTTTGGTTTATAAAACCAGCTAATTTGGCTCATGTTTCTACAGCTCCCTCAGGTCCAGAGCTGGACATAAGACTTAAGTTCTGAACTCAGGATATGTGCCAAAAGTAGTAATTTCCTGAATTAGAAGCTTGTCAGTTTATTAATCAGGAAAATTTTCCTTTCACACTGATAGAAAGTGGCATCTTCCTAGGTCCCACTCTCTGGAAAGACATGTAGCCTCGGAGGGGAGTGAGATCCAGGGGTGGCTTTCCTTCTGTGACGGTCACTGCATGGGCTGCTCTGCTGTGTTGGACTGGGATGACAACCCTCTCACTTTTGCTGTTGTGTCTGAGAAGGGAATGACTAGGTTGCCAGGGCATAGATGGATAGATCAAGTCCTGTCACCTGGGCAGGACCTCCCTGCAGAAGGCATCCTTGGCACTCTGCACTGCTTTGACGCCACCTGTTGCAGGGTTAACAGGGTGCGTGGCTTTGGTCACCCAGACTCAGAACCCTCTTTGCTCACCGGAAGAGACTCTGTGCCCTCCCTTGGAGTTGCACGTTCCTGGCACTGTGCCAGCCTTCCTCTACACCTGTTTACAGACAAGATGGGCCAGGATTGATGGCCACTGCTCTTGTAATTTTTGCTCAGAAGAATAATGAGCTTTTTTTTTTTTTAAGGGATGATGTGTTTTTGTTCTAGGTGTTTATAATTTAATCTTTTAATATTATGTTCATTAACCTCTTAAAATGAGTGAATTCTTGATTGTTTTAACACAGTACCTAAGACTAATGCTTTCTGTGGCCTCCTCACCACAGGACCAGAGAACCACATCCCTGGTAACTGCTGTGAGTGTGGACACTGAGCTGCTTGTATATTCTAAAGGAGCAGGAGGACAGTTCTCTGATACAGGAGGAACAGTGGCCTTGCTTCTAGACGGTCTTCACTGTGTGTTTTAAAATGACATAAAACTCTTTTGACATGTATAACTTAAAGATCATAAGTGTCAGGCAATAATATTTTCTGTGTAAGCTTTTAAAATTATTTTTGGGGATTATAGCTTGTTTTATTTTGTGCTATAAAATTAACAGTATTAAATGACTTATATTCTTAGAATACAGTGAGTGTCTTTTCTTAACAGATTAGTGCCTTTTTATTTTTGTATTCCATTTTACGTTACTGGTCCCAGCATCAAAAACCCTTGTTTCCATGGCCTGTTTGTACATTGTCTCAATAAAACTTGCACCAGCTGGCGGTGGCAGCAGCCTCGGTGTTTCAGTGTCTCCTCAGTCAGCCCCCACCAGCCTCTCCCGACGTGAAACTGGCGAAGCCCCTGGTAGTCACAGAAACTTGCTCATGCTGCTCCCGCTTCCCTCACCCCACAACAGCAGCTTCTTATTCTGGGAAATACCCGCTCTCTGGACATGGTGGGAGCTCTGGGACTCAGCCTCCAAGCAGGGGTGCAGGCTCTGCTCTGCTGAGGGCTGTTGAGCATGAGCTAAGCAGAGATGCTCGGTGGTCAGGGAAGGTAAGCGATCCTGTCTGCTGCCATTCCTGTCTAGATGTACACCTCCTTGTGAGCTTTGGGGATCTCTAGGAGGGAACTTTGGTGTCGGCGGCTTGCTTAAAAACCTCACAAATTGCTGGGTGATGGTGGTGATGCATGCCTTTGGTCCCAGCTCTTCTGCCTCCCAATAGGCAGAGGCAGGTGAATCTCTGAGTTGGAGGCCAGCCTGGTCTACAGAGTTCCAGGGCAGGCAGAGAAACCCTGTCTTTAAAAAAAAAAAAAAAAAAAAAAAAAAGCCTCACAAACTCTGTGGGAGTTACAGTTTAGGGCTCCCCTCACAAACTCTGTGGGAGTTACAGTTTAGGGCTCCCCTCACAAACTCTGGGAGTTACAGTTTAGGGTTCCCCTGCTGTTACCCAGGAAGCACATTTCATCTTTTATGCACATTTTACTCTTGCGCCTGTTTATGTGTGTATCAAGAAATTCAACCAACCCCTTAAACCTTGAATCCTCTTGCCTGCCAGTGCTGGAATTGTGGGCATGTGTAGGCACGCTCAACGTCTTCTGCGGATTCGAGGGTGATGAGGAGCACTGCTTGGCAGGCCTGCACCTGAGCTACCCAGACCTCCAGCATCTGGGAGATTCAGACCTCAGCGCTTTTATCCCCCCCACCCCGGTTCTGAGTAGTGGATACCAGTGCTGGAAGTTGAAGTAGAGTGAGGTTTTAGAACCACTGTGCCAATGGACACCCTCTCTGGGCAAGGGGCTGTAGTTCTAATGCTGCCTGAATTAAAGAACTAGGTCCCATAGGGTTCAAATTGGCCCTGCGCTTCCCACCACCACCATTTACTGCAGAGACAACCCGCCAATGAGCATTTAGGCCTGGGCACTCTCAGCCAAGCAGCCTGCAAATGAGGTGGGGGCTGGACCATGCATAGAGCTTCGCTCCCCAACTCGGTACCGGAAAGGTTTGCTCCAAACCCCTCTGCTCACCCTTGGGTCACCTGGACTTAAACCATAAGCCTCACTAGC